TTTTTTTATTCATTCATTCAGTTATTGATATAAATAAATAAAAATGGTTTGTGATAATTGTACGTATCTTTTTTTTCTTGTTTATTTTGAATAATTGAATTAATAATTTGAAAAATTCTCTTTAAGGTCAAAAGAAAGTTGGTCGTGTTGCAACACAAGATGTATGGAAAAGTATGTTAAATCGTCCTTGATTATTGTGTTTTTTTTTTGCATATATCTTCTTTTTTGTTTTAAAGGTGGTTCACGCAATACAGTTGGTAGGACTAATTATTATTTCATTAATTATAAATAATAATTTAATTTTTCTAGAAAGTGGTGGTAAAAAATTAAATGAAAATAAATTATTAACTAACAAAAATTCTCGGTTTGTATACAGATATTTATTCAATTATTTAATTATTATTATTATTATAGATATAGTCCATATACAACAAAATTTAATAAATGTAAAATTTGTAAATCAACAATTCATCAACCTGGTAGTACTTATTGTCAAGGTTGTGCTTATAAATTAGGTTTATGTGCAATGTGTGGTGTAAAAATTTTACAAACAAAAAATTATCGTCAATCATCTGTTTAAATAATTTTTATTTTTTGAATCTCAATTGTTAATAATAAAGATTCTATTTGTAAATATTTTCAGATATATTATGTCGGATGAAATAGCAAAAGCTCAAACAGCAAAACCTACTGAAGATACAATTTTTGGTAAAATTGCACGTAAAGAAATTAAAGTTGATTTAATTCATGATGATGATCAGGTTGTTTTTAAAGTTATAAAAGAAAAAAAAAAAATTTTTTTTTTTGTTTTTATTTCTAGTGTGTTGCATTTCATGATATGAATAAACAAGCACCAACACATTTTTTAGTTATACCAAAAGAACCTATAACACAATTAGCATCATGTACATCATCACATGAACAAGTAGATTAAAATTCTTTGAAATTTTTGAGTTATTTTTTTGTTTTGTTTAGTTGCTCGGTCATTTATTAGTTGTTGCTGCTCAAGTTGCTAAAAAAGTAGGTCTTAATGAAGATGGATATCGTTTAGTTATAAACAATGGACGAAATGGTGGTCAAAGTGTTTATCATCTTCATATACATGTACTTGGTGGACGACAACTTGATTGGCCACCTGGCTAGTTAGAATTTTATTTCTACTAGACTTTTTATTCGTAATTTTTGTTTTTTTTCATTTATTATTAAATCAAGCATGAAAAATAAACTTTGTTTTCTTGATTTTTAGAAAATAAAAATCGTAAAAAAAAAAAGATTTTCGAAGTGATGAATTATACCTTTCAAAAGTTCTGATCACGGTATTTAAAGGATCTTTCCGGATAAGAGAATCTATTCAAAAATGTAAAAATCAAATATCTCATGTTGTAGAGCTTTTTGAAGCACGGTAAATGGTACATAGTAAATCTTGTTTTCATAGAACTTTGAAGAAACTAGATTCAATTTACTGATAGATTACCGGAGATGCTACATATAGGAGATTGTAGCCCGTCAAAAACTCTACAGTATCTTATGTGAGGAAAAATATTTTGTAAATACCAAGGACCACAATATTCAGAAACTTATAATGCTTGGATGTAGATGTGTAGTCATCTATCAGTAAATTGACTCTAGTTCCTTTAAAATCCTATGAAAATAGGATTTACTATATACTACTCGACTTGCCTTGAAAAGCTTTACAATATGGGATATTTCATATCTAAATAGATTTCCTTATCCGAAAAGATCCTTTAAACGCCGTGGCCAAAACTTTTGGTATCCTTTTATTGACTAATTTATAACAAACAAATCTTAATCACTTTTATTAGACATCATTTAAGACTTCTTGCAAAAATCAATCTTCAGAAGATATTCAACAAATCGAAATTTGCTGTGGATTAGAGATGTCGATAACGCTACTTTTTTAAACCATGGCGATACTGCAGTAGCTTCTTTTTTTTAGGGAAATTGCATGAATTTGCGCCCGATTTGAGTGTCTACAAGCCCAACAGTCAGAATCGTGATGAAGTCAAGCTAACTGTGATAATTTAGTAGAGTCACGGAAGAGTTCCTCGAAAAGTATCATCACAGCGGCAGATTTCCAGCTGCAATGCACACCTCTGTTCTATATATTTAATTCCTTTTTATTTGAAAGAGTATGCCAGAATCACGACCCATCGAGTCCAAAATTTTCAGACTCGGTCGAACCGTACTTTGATACTCTCAATGAAATTTTCTAATCGAAATTGAATCGTTGCCCAGAACATCCATACTCAGAAAATTTGTTATAAACCAGTCGAATTCTATGTAATGGATACATGATTTTGTTTGCTTAACATTGAGATATTAGAAGATCATCGTACCTTGAATTATAAATCTGAAGTCTCTGAATTTGAAGCATATACATGTCAAAATCAAAATGAAACACCGTTTTCATGTATTTATTTTGAATGTTTTGTAAAATTGAAGGACTTCAAAAATACTTTGTCAAGTAAAAAAAAAGACGTTCGAAGTCGTCCTCTTTCATTCCGACACGAACATTAATCGCATACTAAATTCTATTAAATCATTTGTAAACATAGATGATAACAAATCTTTTATTTCATTATTTTCTGATGAATATATAGTAAATATTTATTGAATTATTATATCACAGAAAGACATAAGTGAGTTTTATAAAAACAATATTTTATATAATATTGTATTACATCCATCCAACCGGATAACCTCTTGCTAAATTTTCCATTTTTAACCAATTATATAATGGTTGAAAAAAGTCTAACATAGCTTGTGATTCTAATTTATTTTCTCCTGTGAAATTTTCTAAAATTTCTGACCATGATTTTGAAGCTCCCATACCTAACATTTCTTTAAATTTTTCTCCAACATGTTTATTACCATATATATCACACATATGTAATCGTTTTGTAACACCTTGTAATCGACACATACCACGATAAAATTGAAATTGAAGAATATGAGCAATAAAATATCGTAAATAAGGAACATTTGATGGTATATGATATTTTGCACCAGCATCAAAATTTTTTTTATCATTTCGAGGTGCACCTGCCATTATACCACCATATTCAATACGTAATGCCCACCATTTAGAATTTAATTCATGTTTACGATCAATTTCATTACGAAAAAGTAAAAATCGATATTTATCCATAACATAACTAAATGGTAGAAAAGCAATTTTTTGTAAAGCTAAACGAAATAGATAATTGATTTCATAATGTGAATTCACATTTTCTTCATCAAGAAAACCCAATTTTATTAAATGTGCTGGTGAAACTAATAAAATATTAAAAAATTAAAAACAAAAAAAAATTTCATATGAAAAAGATAATAAAACACAAAACAACTTACTTGCAAACATACCAATTGTATCTCCAATAGCTTCATGAAAACCTGAATTAGCTCCACTTCGATAAACAAATGGTTGTTTTTTACTATAAGCCATATAATATTCAATATGACCCATTTCATGATGAACTGTATAAAAGTAATCATCATCAATTTCTGTACAAATTTTTACACGAAAATCATCATGATATCCCATATCGGATGCAGATGCATGACAAACAACATTACGATCAATAGGTTTTTTGAACATACTACGAGCCCAAAATTTTGGTGTCATTGGATAAAGACCAATTGATGTAAAAAATGATTCACCCATTGTATATAATTGATGAATAGAAAATTTTTTTTCAATTAATACTTTTGTTATATTAATAAGTGGAGCATCTGAATAAGGAATAACATCATCTAAACGATCGTGCCATGTTTGAGCCCACATATTACCTATAAAGTTTTTCAAAATAGAATTAAGATATATATACGAATAATCAAAACAAAAAAACCCAGAAATTTACCGAGAATGTGAGCTGGAATAGGTCCATCACAATCAAAACGATTTTCATATTTTGAACATAATCGACCTCGAACATATGCATGTAATTGTTCATATAATGGCATAATATCTTTTAAAAGTTGATCAATAATACTTTCAAATTCAGTCACATTACCCATTTCATAATCTTCAATCCAATATTGCTAACAAAAAAATAAAATAATAGATAAATAATTA